TCACGCGCTCGTAGGCAGGGGTGAACTAGTGGACACCGCCGTCCTGGAGCGCACTACCCGCCACCAAGTTCGTAGAGAACGAGGGGAGGTAGAGACCTGACAGTATGCCCGACAGGACCGCAGGACAGGGGAGGACAGTGGAGGAGGTCGCAAGGACCGGACCCCTAGAGGGGTCAGCAAGGGAGACTGCAACTAGCCGAGCAAGCTGCTCAAGGGTCGTGTGGTCACGAAAGAAACAGCAGGAAGCACCTGAGTCCAGTGTGAAGGTGTGCAGTGCCTCAGTCGGCTCAGTACCAGGGGGCGCAAACTCACTAGCAGCTAGAGCGGTAGCCTCACCATCACCTGGGGTAGCAGACACTCTAGCACCTAGAGCGGCAGCCTCACTGGTCCGAATGCCAGGATCGGGCGGAACACGCAGGTACTGAGCACCCTCTCCACTAACAGACATCACATACATGGCGGTGAGAATAGCATCAAAGTCTAGTGCAAAGATATCAATGTTTTTCTTCATCGGATCAGCCCAGCGGAGCAGCTCAGTGGCCTCAGGAACCTGAGTGCGCCAAACGTCGTCGAGGCGAGAGAAGCAGCGCTGCGTGGGGTGAGCCCTCCCACACGTCTGACCAGTGCGGTCACCAGTGCGGATAACGTACGTGCAGCTAAGGCCACCTACCCCCCCGTGCTAAGAGTACCACTCACGGAGCTTCTGGGGCGATGGAGTGTGCTGCTGGCTCTGGCCATTGCCAGCGCCTCCACGACCACCACTGCCGCCGCCAACTCCTCGACCACCCCCTCCCCTGCCGCTGCCGCGTCCACCGCCGCCACCACCACCACCCCCGCCCCTGCCACCTCCCCCGCCGCTGCCATTAGCCCCTCCAACCCCAGCACCACCCCCACCGCCGCCACCACCCCCACCACCGCCTCCCCCGCCGTCACCTCCGCCTCCCTTGCCCCCTTTGTGTTGTGCCAACACATTACAGTGGCACGGTCATCGCACTCCCATTCGACCTACAAGCCTGCTCAGCTTCTGGAATTTTGTGGGGAGATTGTTCAACATTTGTTCTTCAAACCCTCAAACTTTCAGAGTTTTGAAGCAGTTACCAAGGCATGACAACATTTTATGTTTCAAGACTTATGGCATCCCGGAAGTGTGTGTTACTCCTTTTTGGTAACACCCGAGCTCACCATTTCGGCTGCTGACTCGTCTACCGAGATCTGATTGGTCTGAAATTCAGTCTAGCAGTCCTTTGCTGCGCTGTGCAGTTGGTCACCTAGTTTCAGAACGTTCCAGCATCTGAGCAATGCGTGACAGCTGCCGAAATTCACTGTTCCGTAGTCATGGTGCACTGTTGGCAGCATTTCCCTTGCCACCCTTTCATTGTTGTCATGCCAATGGTGCAGGGACAGAGAATGAGACAAGAAGTACAGGTGGTCAAGTGGGACTCTACAACCCTCCTTTTGAGAAGTGTGGTCTTCCTGGAAGCAGCTTGCAAGAGGGTGCAAGTGGGAAGACAAGCTGACTCATGTTGGCTTGACTCACTATTGGTAGCCTTGAGTACAGCTCTGAACATCCAAGTGTGGTTGGCTTTGCTGACCTAGCTAGGAGGTTTCCCATCCTTCTCTAGCCTTTCTCCCCTAGGATTCAACCTTCTCTGAGTTCCCAGGATGACCCAACCCCTTATGAGTCCCCTAGGCAATGTTGTACTCACCTCTTCCTTGCATCAATGAAACTACACGTTTTTTTTCACCCGAGCTTCTGTTTTCATTCACAGCGTAGCGCATACACCTCTGGTGAAAGCAAGCAATACACCGTTAGAAAGCAGACACTTAAGGCTAACAGCTGTCCAAGTTTCAGCCTCATGTGTTATCGGAGCTGATCGTGACGACGTTTTGAACAGAGGCGGTTTGAAGACGTCAGATTCTGCTTAGGCGGTTTCATGGGCATCCGCGACCTCTAAGTGGACTCTTTACTATAACACTTTGCCCTTGCCGCTGCGGCGCCAGCTCGAAGCAGACGCTGTCCCGACCTTCTCAGCACCAAGGAGGTCGACAGCAGAAGCAGAGGCTACAGAGGGAAGAAGGGGGGAAGGGGAACACCCCTCGAAGAAAGGGGTGCGGGGGTCGCCACGAGAGGCACCTACAGCGACTATGCTAGCCTCAGCTGCAAGTAGTTCCTTCTCGAGGAGGGCAATGGTGAGCTCAGTGGGGCAGCGAGCTAGGAAGTGGTCCCTGACTGCACGCAGAGAGTCAGGGAGGCGGGTGACTAGGTGGTAGAGAGTGAGCCAGAGCGGGGGGCGGTTCGCGGCAAGAAACTCATCAGGCATAGCGGCACGGAAGCGGGCCTCACTAGTACGGAGGTGCGTGATGAGGTCAGCGACTGTGTGGAAGGAGGCGAGGTCGGGGAACAGGTAGGGGAGTGAGAGAGGGCCTAGCGCAGCAGAAGCAGGTGAGGAGTAGCGGGCAACGACAGCAGTGTACAGTGTCTGTGCAGTCTTGTGCTGGCCAAAGTGCTCGCGCTCATCTATCGGCAGGGAGTTGCGAATAGCAAAGCGAGTGTGGGCGTCACGAGTCTGCCATTGTGAGCGGGCAGTGCTGTCAGCACTAGCAGCAGGGGTAGTGGCATGGCCTAGGGCGTGATCGTACAGTGAGATGTCCTCCTTGGCAGTGAGCTGTAGAAAGAGGTGCAGGTCATCTAGCCAGGTGTCAAACTTCACTGGGCGGCCCTCAGTATCGAACGCTACTACAGGAGGGCTAGCCATAGTAGTAGTAGGAGCAGTAGTATAGTAGAAGGAGCAGTAGCAGTAGGTGCACCCTAAAAGCAGTAGGCAGCGCGACTCAGGTAGGGCAGCTCGGTACAGAAAGGCTGCTCAGTACGGGCGGCGCGGTTCGGTTCCGGTAGGGCGGCGCGGCTCGGTTCGGGCGGCGCGGCTCGGCTCGGGCTGGGCGGCTCGGTTCGGGCGGCCTGGTTCTGGTGGGGCCGTGGCTGTCGCGTGCGGGGCGCTAAGGGGCGGCGCGTGGGGTCGACGGGGCCGCTAAGGGGTGGGCGCGCGGGGTCTACGGGGCTGACGAGGCCGCTAAGGGACGGCGCGCTGGGTCGACGGGGACAGCGGGGCCTCTAGGCGGGGCGCACGTGGGGTCGACAGGGCCTCTAGGTGGGGCGCGCGGGCCGACGGGGCCTCTAGGTGGGGCCGACGGGGCCTTTAGGTGGGGCGCGCTCGGGGTCGACGAGCCGACGGGGCCTCTAAGGGGCGGCGCGCGGGTCGCTAAGGGGCCGTTAAGAGAGGGACGCTGGGGGAGGCGCTCGAGGGCGCTCCGACAGTGAGGCGCACGAGGGCGCTAGTAGGCAGTCAGCAGTGGTGGGCCCTAAGAAATCGGTCCTAGCGAAGGACCTGCTCTGATACCATGTTAGATAATGAATGATTGAATTGAGAGAGAAGTGAGTACAAGTACCTAAACCTAGAATTGTGTACCCCCTAAAGGCTAACCCACTGTAGCCTAAACAACTACAACATATATAATGTTTGACACTACTCGCATTTTTTTTCAATGCTCGACATTCAGTTCTGGTCGTTAGCAGTTGACGCTACAACTGTGTATTGCGTCATTCTCCGATTGGTTGCGAGCCCAAGCGAAACGCACGACATTGTTCGTATGCTAGACCCAGCCAAATGTCCAAGGTGGGGCCCTGCCCCACACGGACACCATCGTTACGCCAAAATACCTTCAGGTGGGCGAACTTCGAATGGTATCTCTTCCTCCTGCATATAATACAGTAGTTCCATCAGTCTGACAGACGCCATCCATCTACAGAGGAACGTACCGTAATCTCCCGGATAGTAGACCCTAGGGTCTTATGTAAAATTCATAAAAAAAATAGGGGGGGGTCTTGTCAACGGCACAAGATTGTTTAGTACCCGGGTCTTATTAAATTGATATAATTTTTAAAGGTGTACGTAATCGAATGCCTCATTGATGAGGATGCTTGACATTCTTTTTCCCTGTTGTTTGGGCAGCACATGTGCGACTTCTGCGATGTAGCCACATCACATAGGGGAATCAGTTTGTGGCCTTCTCATTGGCCAAAATCGCACGTTACCACATTCCAGCATTGAGGTTCGCGTTGTGGCTCGTCAGCGTGCCATCCCACCTCGACACCCTGACACATGCACGGCTCGAGCGCAGGGGCTGCACGGTGGCCCGTGCAGCAACCCCTACTGTTCAATGGGAGGCATGTCAATCCTTTCACCCCTTGTTGCCCCCTAAATCTCTGAAATGCAAACCGTGAATAGGTTGCATTGGTGTCAAGCTTGTCTTGCTAGTGAAGCACTTGAAAAGACATCTTATTCCCATTATGAACAAGTGACAACCATAAGGAAGGGGGTCTAGTATTGTTTACTCCTCTAGGGGGGGGTATCGTGAAAACCTGCCAAAATAAAAGACCCACCCCCGTAATACAGACCCGGGGGTCTTGTATTCCGGGGGGTCTACTATCCGGGAGCTTACGGTAAACGTTCAGAGTGACAAGTTGAACTAGAATCACTATTTGGACAACAAGGGTGCTGTGATAGAAGACTGGTGGGTGAACAGAAGCGAGGACCATCCTAGTGATACCATGTCAAGGACTACGGCAGAAAGAACATAATGGCTTGACAGAAGGTTATACGGTACAAGGGAATACAAGTGAGAACCCTGGCCCTATAAGGTAGACATAGCCTACAACAAGAAAAAAACAACTTGACATATACATGTGCATTGACATGACACTGAACGTGATAAGCATTTATATCTCCGACTCACAATAAATATAATCCAAGCACAAGCTGAGAAGTAGCCACAAAATCCAGACCTTCACTAGCATATTAATGGATTACTGCAATCTTTCTACACATACGGTATATTTGAAGATCACCCCGAGTATGCTATTCCAGACTTGGAGTCTTATTACCCCAATACCACCCACCCACAACAATCGATACGAAACCACCATGTGAAAACTCTACGCTTCACATCCCGAACACCAGGAGCAAGACGGCCGCAACAGCAGCAGCAGTAGAGTGGTTAATGGCAGCAGCAATGAACGTGCGAGGGCCAGATGTCGATTGTGCGTGCGGTAATAGCCATTCCTTTGTGATCCACACTGGTGCTGGCCGTGCTGGATCCTCTGTGGGCGCCGACACTGGCATGTGGGCACAGACATAGATTGGAACGTGAATTCAAATTCTGTAAAGCTTATCTATTCCACCAACCAGCAGTTGTTGGAAAGTTTGATTGGAGCCGGTGTGGCATCGTTCTTATGCATGCGTCCGTGTGTGGGCAGCCATGGCAGCATGGAGACTTACAAGCAAGGGGGGTGCAGGAGGAGCAGAAGGAGAAGCAGAGGTGGCAGAAGCCGGTGGTGTTGCTCTGCTTCACCAGGCACTTGCTGCCGTCTGCAGGGCAGGTCAGCCCCGTGCCCGAGACGTTCCTGGGGGCGAGTGTGGGAGGAGGATGGGAGAGTCGAGGAAAAAATATACAAGCATGGCCAAAAATTGGCTTGAAACTAGTGTGCGACAAGAAAATACATGCAATGACTAGGCTAGTTTGAGGTATTGCTGTGAGCATTCGGTCCAATACCAAATACCATGTGAATATGGAGTTAATTAGTTACTGGATTACATACAAAAATGAATCTAGAACTCTACGTGAGAGGCAGGATGGGCTTGTGAAGCATGTGGCGCAGAGGAGTGGAAGGAGAAAAGAGGCCAGCCAACTCAACACCACTATGCTGTCATTGAGTTCAAATCCAAGGGGGAAAAATAGGAGGATTCCCATTGCAAGTAATAGTGAGACCCTGGTAGGAAGGATGGAAACGTAAGAGCAGCGCGGGGAGAGTAGTCACCTTTACGCTTGTAGTGGATGGGGAATGGTTGTGCTACTCACAGATATGATAGATCGGTAAATCCGCCTAGACTAGCAGGTATGACACCACTCAGATTGTTGCCTCCAAGCCCCCTGCCGTGCCATGCCATGCCATCCATGCCATCCATGCCATGCCACACGTGCATGCCAGCAACCAGAGTGCATCAGCTGTTTGCAACAATGCAAGGCTGACAGTTCCTGCAGCAATGCAAGGCTCACAATTCCCACAGCACTGCAACGTGGGAGATGGAGTCAGGGAGGGAGCCACTGAGCTGGTTGTCGCTGACGTCGCTGGGGATTGAGTGGGGCATGTTGGATGGGCGCAGGCGAGGGGGACGAGGATCCAAGGGACAATGTGATTTTGCTAAAGATTCTAGTGACTTTCAGACACGCAGAGCCATGCGATGTTAGGTATGTGGCTGCTAGTTCAGATGTTGCTCTTGGCTGACATGAAGGAAACCCAAATGGCACAGGAAGGGCTGACATAGATGGACAATGGTTGAGAAGGATAAGAACAAGGCAGTGAGCTCACAGACTACGAAGTGAAGGGGTCATCCACAAATCAAAGTTGGGTAGCGAACCAGAGAATGCGTTGCCTTGCAGCTCACTGTGTGGAGGCACGGGTTGCATGGGATGGGGATGGGGGAATGACCAGCAGTGTATGCGGACGGGAATGTTTATGTTTGCACATACATAATGAGAATTACTGTCGTTCTGAGGGAAATCAATCAAGAGACAACTTGAGCACACGCACTTGCATCCCTCCTTCCTTCCATACCGGGACCAAGCAACTTCAAGGCGCGCTTACAGAGTAAAGGAAGTGGAAACGAGGGCAGAAGGAAGGGGACCTTGAAGCTGGTTGTGAGCCATGGAACTGGAGAGGTTGAATGGGCGATGGTGGAAGGGAGTGAGATGATGGTAACATGCATGCATTGAATGTCCCAGCAGGGAATTGCTGTAGTGAGGAGTGAGCATTTAGTGACCCAAGGGCCATGGCATGACGCAAGGCACATGAGACATGTGCACTGCATGCCGCATGAGCTTCCACCTCCGTCTCCGTGCCGGCTGCACCATCCCATAACCAGGAGCATGCCATCCCACTTGCATGCTCGGCTCTCTTCCATGCTAAAAGGGGTAATGTGGCATGGCACACTAGGGATGAGCAAGGTGGCGAACACCTGTTCGGTTCGCCTCGAACACGTTCGAGGCGAACCGAACAGGTTTTGTTTTTTAGCTCAAATCGTTCGCCCAACAGTGTTCGATGTTCGCCCGAACACGTTCGTGTTCGGGCCGCTGCTGAAATTTGCCCGCGACGAACACGAACAGTGTTCGAGGTTCGCCTGAACACGCCTCCACAGGCGAACAGCGAACACCTGTTTTTTCCTAAACTGTTCGCCGAACCGAACAGTGTTCGGTTCGGCAAAAGAGGGTGTTCGACAAGGGGCGAAGACGAACATGTTCGTGTTCGCCCTTTGCTCATCCCTATGGCACACCATGGCACGGCAAAGCATGGGACGGCACAGCATAGCAAGACATGGCACGGAATGATAAGGATGAGGGAGGAGGTGGCTCGGGCTAATGTTCTTCGTCCCTGGAACAAGGCACCAAAAACATGAGAGAACAATGCGAACACAAAAGAGAGAAGAACGCGATGTCAATCAACCAAGACTTACACATGCCCCCCATTGATGGTAGAAGGCATGGAGGTGAGCTGATTGTGGGAGAGGTTTCTGCACGCAGTGAGGGCAGGCAGAGGGGAGGGGATGTGGAGGGGAGCAGATGTGCAGGGGAGCGGATGTGGAGGGGAGGGGATGTGGAGGAGATGTGAAGGCATACACGGTGAGATAGGGGCGAGAATGCTTCTTTGCCAAACTCCAGGGGAGTGTGTGATGTCGTTCAGAGCTCTTGCACTGGAGGAACATGAGTCAGGGCTGTGAAACATACGGCAATGTCATGCCCGAGTGCAGCCTTGGTGGAATATCAGAAGCTTTAGAAAATATGGAAGCACGATAGTACGGCAGAATGCCAAACTTGGGCTGTTGGGAACGCAACGCAACGCAACCTAATGATTACATGCTTAATCAAAAGGGCGTTAATGCATTGCTGAGGTAACAATAGGCGGATCTCAAGGGGCGTCTGCTTGAAGTTGCCACACGGAGATGAGAAAGCATGGTGAGAGAGAGAGTGCCCAAGAGCCTCCAGCACCTCAATCTGTTTGGTGGAGTTGAGACTCAGCATGCAATGCAAGTGTGCCACATGGAGGTGCATTGCAATCCAAACCACGCCATACGTGAGCTCATGCCAGGCGTGGCGGGCCTGGGAGACTCACAAGTGAAAGGATGTGCGAGGATGTCAGGAATGGCGCCGGTGAGATTATTAAAGCCGAGGAACTAGTGCTGTGATGAGTGGAGGAAGGAACGTGTGTGTGGAGAGAGGCCAAGACACGCACGTGTATTGTGGATGGCACGTGGTAGTGCAATGCAGCGACTTCATACAATGGCATTATTTCCTACAACAAGGGATAGATGGAGGACACGACAGGACCATACCCTGCCTCGGTTCACCTGGTCATGCTTCGCCTTGATTTAACCCCACGACATTCCGTTGCCGCCCTGAATTATGTTGAAAGCCGCCCTGTGATGTGATGTGAGGGGCTTACAGGGCATGCAATCTAGTTAGCTTGCTGATGCCAACAGGAATGCTCCCTGAGATGTTGTTTCCGTAGAGCTCCCTGGTGGGGCCATGGCGAGGAGTGGAGGGAGGAGGGGGAATGGCCACCACTCTCATTGAGTAAACCGCTTTTACGGGAAGAAGTATTTTCACCGAAAGAACCGCTGTCACCAGACGAACCGCTTTAACTGGATGAACTACCTGTGCAAGAGATTTATTCAGAGTCCATTATTTAGCTGGATGTGACACCTTGGTGCTCGCAACCTGGTGCTAACAACCTGGTGCTCACAACCTGGTGCTTTGGCGTATAGTATGTGTACCCTTCCTTATTTCTACGACCACTGCATTTCTAATGGGAATCCCATGGACGGACGGGGAAGGAGAGGAAGGAAGGGGAGAGAGGAAGGGGAGAGAGGAAGGGGAGAGAGAAGGAAGGAAGGGCAGAGAGGAAGGAAGGGGAGAGAGGAAGGAAGGGGAGAAAGGAAGTAAGGGGAGAGAGGAAGGGGAGAGAGGATGGGAAGGGGAGAGAGGATGGTAAGGGGAGAGAGGATGGTAAGGGGAGAGAGGATGGGAAGGGGAGAGAGGATAGGAATTGGAGAGAGGATGGGAAGGGGAGAGAGGATAGGAACTGGAGAGAGAGAGGATGGAAAGAGGAGAGAGGATGAGAAGGAGAGAGAGGATGGGAAGGGGAGAGAGAATGGGAAGGGGAGAGAGGATATGAATTGGAGAGAGGATGGGAAAGGGAGAGAGGATAGGAATTGGAGAGAGGATGGGAAAGGGAGAGAGGATGGAGAGGAGATAGAGGATGGGAAGGGGAGAGAGGATGGCAAGGAGAGAGTGGATGGGAAGGGGAGAGAGGATGGGAAGGGGAGAGAGGATGGGAAAGGGAGAGAGGAAGGAAGAGGAGAGAGGATGAGAAGGGGAGGCGTACAAGATGGTGAGGGCGGTGAGGGCGGAGATGGTGGAGGGGATAGAGCCAGTGAAGCCATTCAGACCGGCCCGCCTGGAGGTGCAAGGGGAGGGGCGAGAGGAGGGGAGGGGTGAGAGGAGGGGAGGGGCGCATGCATTGGCAGCTGGAGGGCAACAGAGCGGGGCTGAGCGGAGTGGCCCATCAGGCAATGTAAGGAACGGATGGCTTTGGATGGTGAGGCGAGCAGCAGCAGGTGTCAAACCAAGCTGGTGTGTTGTGGACATGGCGGATGGCTCGCTCACAGCGTTTCCAGCCTTGTGAGCGCCATCCATTCGGTGGGGAAAGGTGCAGAGCGGTGGACTTGTAAGTTTCCGGTGACGTCCCTACAGGGAAGACAAGGGCAGGAGGGTAGGGGAGTCACGGGGCGCTCCAGTCGGTGGAGAGGCACGGCAGGGGGCATTGCGTACATCTGAATCTCACTTTCTAGCCATTGAGCAATCTCTCTAACCATCGTTCATTGCCCTGATTGACTCTGCCTTGAGCCACATGTGGACCAATGCACGGCATCATGGCGCAGGGCAGCATGGCGCAGGGCAGCATGGCGCAGGGCAGCATGGCGCAGGGCAGCATGGCGCAGGGCAGCATGGCGCAGGGCAGCACAGGGAACGCCGTCGAACACCCTCGATTCAACGCGGCACAGACCCGTCAGGGTGCGAGCTTGAGGCGATTTCATTGGCATCGCTCCAGCAGCAAGCTATGGAAGCAGAGAGTGAGAGCGCAAGTGGCATGGCAAGGCTGTAGCGAATCACAGGTGGTGCAGGGAGAGAGAGGAGGTGGAGCCCGCAGAGCGGACGTGTGCTGGCCTCTTGTATCCCAAGTGAAGCACAGGCGAGGTGCAACAGGAAGCGGTGATGATAGTCAGGGCGGGGTGGGGCGAGAGGCTCTTGGTGCCACTCACAAATGAGTGAGCTTAGTGAGTGAAGCGATCCACTCTGGTAAGCGGGTGATGGGAAGGAAACTTAGGTCACTGCAATGCAATACAGGAAAGAAGGGAGAGGAGAGATGGTGAGCGCACCCCTAAGCTCCTGCTGACCCCTGCTGGATCAACCTTGAGAATTTCATAATAATTCCATAATTAGAGCTCTGGAACATTGAAAGAGAAACGTGCTCGCTCGCTCCTATTTCGACTTGCGTAAGTGGGAAAGAAACTTGTTTCTGCTAATTGTGTTTTTTTCATGAGCATACAGTGATGAGATGCAATGCAACGCGCGCAACAAGCAAGCACATACCCAAGGCTAACCAGGAGCAAGTGAGAGATGATGCCACACCAGCACCATGGTTGCACTTTGGTGATTGCCAACACAAAGCATAAAAAACATGAGATAGAAACTATACCAAGCACTCGCTTAAGGAGGAGGAAGGAAGATACTCTAGGGACTTACAGGTGCTTGAGTGAAGTAAGTGCAGAGAGAGAGGAAGGGAAATCTCCAGAAGTCAGGTTGAGACTCATGAGAGCGCTGAGGAGAAGTGAGGATGGAAGAGAGAGAGGCAGGCATGCAGGAGAGAGGGTGAAAGACACTGGTGAAGTGGACAGACGGTAGTTGGGAAGGAAACAGAATGTGAGCGAGTGAGGAGGTGTGAATGAAGCACGGGCAAGTGCTGTGTTCAATGTGCAGGTGTGAATGAAGCACGGGCGAGGGGCAGCAGCAGGTAGCGAGCCCCTTGGATGTGCTGCGATCTGCAGGGGGACTTAAATCCATGAACTATGCTGCTGGACTGACCGTTGCACGCTGAATAGGAGCATGTGTAAGCAGAGAAAGAGGGGATGGCAGATAAGGATGAGTGAGAGGGGAGTGGAAGACGGGTAAGTGGGGGGTGAGAGGGGAGGCGAAGGCGGGTAGGAAAGAGTGAGAGGGGATGAAAGGCGGGTAGAAATGAGTGAGAATAGGTAGAGACGAGTTGATTTAGAGGGAAGGGGAGGATGGGTTGGGATGAGTTAGATTAAGGGAAAAGGCGGGCTGGAAAGAATCGAAGCATACAGGTCCTGGAGACGAGTGAGTGGAGCGAGGCAGGAGAGGTCGTCCATAGAGCCTTGCTCAATGGATAGAAGACTGCGAGAGCAAAGAGATGGCAGGGTGAAGGGAGGCGGGCCGCGGGGGGGACTAAGTAGCTTTCAGTGGGGCTGTGTTTTGCCCATGGCGGAAAAGGGCACCACAGCAGAATCACTCGTGCAGGGGGCTTTTAAGAATTCTCAAATTGCAGCAGTAGTCACAGCAGAAACGGTGGAGCAGAAGCCCCATTTGGGTGGGTGCATGCAGCAGTGAGCACGTGGAATTGAGCATGTTAGGAGAATAGAAGGCGGTGAGCTGCGGTAAGGAAGGTGGAGTGCGAGCTGCCGCATGGAAGGTGTGCACACACGGACGGCCTCGTCGTCACATGAGCTGCCCTGCAGCACTGCACTGTGTGCTTCAGAACCATGTGGTTCGCATCACATCAGCCAGTGATTCTTCCCAAGAGCATCCCAAGCATCAAGTACTTGAGGTACACTCACACATTTGCCACTGACCGCCTGACCATACACCGTATTCCATTCCGTAGCCATGTTACTACGCTGCTACAAACTTCTGCAAATATGTTGATGGCGATTCACACACATCATGCATGCACCAGCAGGCAGCAAGAGCCCCATTCCATTCATCCCCGTCAGTCTCACTCTGTTGGAGGGTCGTATGCATAAGGAGGGGGGTAAGTAGACGGCTGTGGCGTCCCAATGCGCCTGCATGTTGGGGGCAGAGCAGAGAGAGGGAAAGGGAGTTTACATGCTTGCAACGGACTGGTGCGCTACGAAAGAAAGGGGAGCAGCGGCTAGGAAGTGGAGAGGGCAAAAACAAATGTGTCAATATGAGGTTCAAACGATGTGCTTGCAAGCTTGGGGGTGGAAGAGGAGAGGGGGGAGATTTAGGAAGGCAAGGAAGGAGGTTGGGGGAGGTGAGGGAAGAAATTCAGGGATTGGAGTGCAGTGAGGCGACTGATGCTGCCAAGGAGACTTCCATTGAGATTCAGGCCTTGGAGGTTACTGGGATGGGATGCATACGAGTTGGTGCACAGAAGAACGTGCCAGTAGGGGAAAATATGCATTGGCACGCTAATAGATGAGATTTGAATTTTGGAAATTGGTTCCATAGGGTGTATTCTAGGGATGGGCATTTGACCCGGACGGGTCGGGTAACCCGACCCGACCCGCCCTTTAGGGCGGGTCGGGTCAGGAATGCTGAGAAGGCCGACCCGCCCGGGTCGGGTCGGGAAAACCCGGACGGGTCGGGTCGACCCGTGACCCGTCACTGTGATTTAGTGACGGGTATTTGCGACCCGCCGGGTCAGGTTGACCCGTCCCGTCCGGGTCGCGTACCCAGTCAAATGACAGGGTTACCCGACCCGTTTTCGGATTAGGGTAGGGGTTGAACATCGGTTGGTTTTTTAGGTTTTTTTTCCCTCGACATTCTGATCTAGTCGTTAGACTAGATCAAGGCTAGTACTTCTGCGCTGCAGCTAGGGAGCCTCATACAGTCTTCACTCTTCAATGTTAGCACTATTTAAACTGCATATTATCTTCAGGTTAGGGTTTGGCGCTCCCGCCATTTCGCAGCGTCGCACGACCAGGGGCGCAGCAGCGCGCGTGCGGCCACGCATTGGCGCGAGCGCGCTTTTAGCCAGGGCAGGAACGTAGTGACATGGCAGCGTCACCGCTTGAGCGCCCCTCGTGTTAGCGCCCTCATGGCTATCAAGTCATGGATGGCGCAGAACACGAGCAGCAGGTCATTGAACGTGGCAGGGGCTGCGCGTTCGCTTGTGGAGTTGTGCTATGAGGCCGAGGACGATGGGTTTTGAGTAATGTTTGCTGCGGGAGTGGTCGCTATAGGCCTTAGGCCATTTGCCATAACCCTTTTGGAGATACAGTAGATTTTATTTATTTCCATGCTTGATTGACATTCACTTCACAAACAGGGTTGTTGTTCTATTGACATACGCCATAGACATTTGTTTGAAGCGGAAAAACTACTGCATTTCATGTTTGGATGCCCTGGAATTCATGCACCTTGGGCTAACGTAAGGTACGTATAAACTTAAGAATATAGTTGTAACATGTAGTTTACAATGTAGCAATTTAGACCTAACCCCCATACCCTGCTGCTATGTAACATATTTTGATCCGACCCGACCCGACCCGTGGTGTAACCGACCCGGTAACGGGTCACAAATACCCGTTCCCACGGGGCGGGTCGGGTCACCAAAACAGAGTCAAACCCGACCCGCTAACCCGACCCGACCCGACCCGTTAAGCTAACGGGTCGCCCTCAACGGGACGGGTCGGGCCGGGTCGGGTCAAATGCCCATGCTTAGTGTATTCTGCCTAACAAAAAGAAGGAAAGAAAGAAAGGCGAGAATGAAAGCACTCTCCAGAGCCGCGAAATGAACTGCCCCCGTTGGCCACGCTCGACACGTGATGGAATCCCGGATTCTCATTCTTCCTCAGGGTGACAAGTGCAGTAGGTGCACGCCAGGATGATGATTCATCATGCCCTGTTGCCTTGCCTTGACACTAGAACCCCCTCTTACAGGTACTGCAGGCTCTGGGCATTGCTGATTGTTTCAGGGATGGATCCTTTGAAGTCAGTGTAGCTCAGATCTCTGGCGTGTGCCATGGCAACCAAGTGGGTGGGGGGGGTACGCACACCTCACATGTGGGAGAGAGCGATGGGAGAGATCAATGGGAGAGAGCGATGGGAGAGAGCGACAACCAAGGGAAACTGATGATGTAAGCCAACCATGGACTAGACTCGAACGATTAAGATAGGTTTATAGGCAAGAAGGTGCAATGGTGGAACGGAAAGTAGCTGCGTACACATATTGCAACTCGGGGAATTGGCCGAGAATCTCCAAGCTCCCACTGAAGGGCGTACCAACCAGATCCCTACAGAGTGGCGTGCAATGTAATGCAAGAGGGCAGGGTGACTACACGTCATATACGAGAAGCGAATCCCAAGGGATTGAGAGCTCTGAGGCCCTTTTCCCCTTTGAGCTCGGAGGGTTTGCAGATGTTTGAAAATAAACTAGTAGTAGTACCTATGGAGCGGAAATACGACAGAAAGTAAAAACGGTAGATACACAGGAACTTCCGACTGTGTGCGATGCATGATACATACAAGGATCTTTCTAGATCACCAGCACACGTGTTTCAGCGCACCCACGACAACCCATTCTCTGGACCTTCAAGCACCCCTACGGCCATCCTGGTGCCTCCCCCCCAACAATGGTATGCACTGACAGTTTCTGAAGCGCAGAGAGGGCTGTGATGTCTGCTGGCACGTTGCCATGCGAACCAAGGACGAAAGGTGCGGACCTACATTACATATCATACGATGTGAGATGGAAAGGCAGAAAGAAAGAAAGGCAGAAAAAAAGAAAGGCAGAAAGGCAGAATGAAAGACAGAAAGGCAGAAATAAAGGCAAAAGGGCAGAAATAAAGGCAAAAAGGCAAAAAGAAAGTCAGAAAGGAAGAAATAAAGGCAAAAAGGCAGAAAGAAAGGCAAAAAGGCAGAAAGAAAGGCAGAAAGAAAGAAAGAAGGAAAGAAGGCAGAAAGAAAGAAAGAAGGAAAGAAAGGCAGAAAGAAAGAAAGAAGGAAAAAAAGGCAGAAAGAAAGAAAGAAGGAAAGAAAGGCAGAAAGAAAGAAAGAAGGAAAAAAAGGCAGAAAGAAAGAAAGAAGGAAAGAAAGGCAGAAAGAAAGAAAGAAGGAAAAAAAGGCAGAAAGAAAGAAAGAAGGAAAGAAAGGCAGAAAGAAAGAAAGAAAGAAAAAAAGAAAGAAAGAAAGAAAGAAACAAAGAAAGAAAGAAATGCACAGCAGAGCACACACACACTAGCCAGTACCTAAGTGATACATTTTTCCTAGTTCACATTTGTTAGGTTCGGCAAGTATGGTCCGTACGAGGTAACCCAAAAAGCTTATATTTTCATTGCAGAGACTGTACATACACCTCGGACGAGGGCACGAAGTCCCTACTGCATGGTTCGCAACACCCAACCCCTCGATAATTGTTTTAGGATGTATCATCCATCATGCCAAACAGCCCTTCTATACCAACTCCTTCCTTCCCCCTATCCCCATCCCCACTTACCTCCTCCCCCCATGTACCCGCTACTCCTTTTCCATAGTGCACAGCAAGATCTCATGACAAAACTTACAGCTCAGTAACCATGCCGTCTTGGTTACACTTCAAGCCCGCAACTCCGCTCTTCCACTCATGACAGAACACGTTTGACGAGGTGCAATTCATCCACAAAGTCAATGCCTGGTTCAGGGCCAGAAGCGCTTGCACTGGGGGCAAAGGTGGACGAGGAGATTTTTGGGGGATGCAAAGGCAGGACGAAGGGGATGAGCATGGCTTGCCAGCCGTCAGGTGACTGTTGGGCGGCGACAAGAACTGGTCGCCTGGCTAGGCATCTCCACGTTCTGCCGCTGTACCCCGAAGTGGGAGAAGGGGAGCGACATTTATGGCAAGAATAATGAGCAAGGACCCCTTGAAATCTGCAGTCGGAATTGCCTGCTGTTAGACGATCATCATACAGGAGAGCAAGAAATTATGCTTCAAATTGAGCAGAACAGCCGCCATCGGCGACAAAAAAAAGCACTCACATTGCGACGGTTGGAGCTTGATGCGCGCCTGACTCGGCGTTACAGACGCAGCCGCCGCCTGGCGCGGGCGACGACTCGTCGGGGGCAAGCGAGGCATCGCGGAAAAGACCCGTCCGATACGTTGTCGCTGGCCATCCGCCACACGGTAGGCACTACTCGCAGCGGCAGAAGCGAGAAGCATGACGACGACCAGCACGCCGCAGACAAAGTAGAGAGGGACGAACGCCGGGTTTCGCGCCATGACAATTGAAAGAAAGGGAGAGAGAGACGGCTTGCCAAAAAACAAGGGCGACAATGCAAAAAGACTTTACTCCAGGCCGGACGAAGGAAGGTTTCATAATCGGCGAGGTCAGTGCGTTGGTCCCTTGTTCGTCCTGTGCGGTAACTCTCGTTTGGTCTCGGTTTAAACAGTGGATTTTGATTACCGTTGTGCACCGTCTGGAAATGTCTTCCATACGATGGAACCGTAAATGAACGCAGGACGACGCGCTGACCTCACCCTGATAGAAAACTAACAATATATGTTTTGGCGTGAAAGCAGATACAGCTGAAGATTTCGCTGGATTGCAGGAGTACCCTCAATGCACTCGCATAGGAAATCGAACAGCAGATGCAACACTGAGGGCGAGCTGCACTTCTATTTTTTTATTCGAAAATTCTTTGGAGCGGGTTTTGGGCGAACTTGCACGCGCTTCAGTGTTTTCGAACTTGAACATGCAAAAACACAGAATATCGGTACCCTTTGTCAGGTGCACCAAGACTGGTTTTTTGGGGAACCCGAACTCCTACCAACCGTGCGACCGAAATGAGGTCGTAGGTACACTGTAGACGTCGCCTAGCCAATCACATCATTTCGTTTAGCGTCGTAGCTATTATGTTACTGTCGCTAGTGTTTCGTTTATCTCGCAACTGAAGTTCACCTTTTGGGGTGGTGCACTTCTCTGTCAAGTTCGAGCATTTGACGGGGAATTCTGCAGTATCGTTTGCCCGCGTTTCGGGCGCTATGGCGTTCAAGTTCGCATGCAAAACACGAGCGTGGTGCACTTCTCGAACAGTATCACTGTTCAGTCAAGACAAAATTCAGTTGAGTAAACGCCAAATGCACAGTAACCCGAACTTCACCAAAATTTCGGATTTGGATCGATCTTCTTCAGCATTTTCGAATTAAAAAATAGAAGTGCAGCGCGCCCTGAGGGAATAGCTGACGGAATGATGCCATCATTTTCAAGGGCCTGCGACCTGAAATAGTTCGCCTCATTCCGACCAGGGCTGTCGAAGTAACGGCATTTGTCACAGCTGTTCTGGGTTGGGTGGATACGACCTTGCCCAATTGTCTACAGTTTCTTTCATTGTCACAGCTGTTCAAGTGCCAAGATTAGAAGTAACGGCGTCCGATAGGGGACTAACTGTCACAACACATCTGTCCGATAGAGGTGTATCACTAACAGCGCTTTCTCAAGTTCCCCCACCATCGAAGTTCCCCCACCAGCCTGTTATTTTCAAAGCTGATGGGGGTTTTGGTGGGAATGCTCCCACTCTAACCATGGAACCTCATCATGGAGGGCGACAGCCAGCATCGCATGTGCGGTATCCAATGAAATTGTCGCACCAGCTCGCATACCAAGTGTTGGACTACTGACGTGGGCCCAATCGACTTTGATCGGATCGGGTCGGATCGGGTTGGATTGGATCGAAGTGCTTGTGATCGCTTTTCTCGCGCCGCCCGATCAGAGCTAATTTTCCTCGAAAGCTGTACGTGCCGCGTGAAACCATTACCTGCTAGTTTCTATCCAACTTTGGCGAGACTGGCAATCGCAGTGTATCGTACTAACTTCGCAAGCATCAAACTACACACAATGTCCGCTTCGGAATCTTCTCGCCTGTATATACGTAACATTTAGTGTATTGGGAGACCTCTAGTCGATTGTGTAACATTTCGCATACATCCTCCAGGTCCCCGATCACATGCAATCGAGTGATTGGGACTGATTGTGTCTGGTCGATTTTTATCGGGCTGTTTGAGGAGATTAATCGAGTTGGAGCGATCATTTGAACGCGATCAACTGATTGCCCCCGATTGCCTGAAATTGGCTTCCCGCCTTCCTCGAAGTTATCGATCGCCTTTGATCGCGCCGATCAAAGTTGATTAGGTTGACGTCCTAACCTCGCGAGGCAAACCTAAACGGCCGAGCCTGGCGGTTGCACCTGATATAAAACTTTGACACAATAGTAAAATCAAAGTCAACTAGGGTGCTTTTGTCAAGTTTATATGCTATGGTCTATATAGGTTGTAGTGGGGTAGATACCAAAGGGTACAACATTTCTAGGTTTCTTACTTGTACCCACATTTCACCTAATCATTTCATTCCTCGTTCTTTCACATGGTATCAGAGCAGGTTCCCTAGTGGGAACGTTTCCTAGGGCCCACCACGAAAATCGATTTTTTTTTCCTGCCCGGAGCGCGCTTCGCTCCTGCCCGAGTCGCGCCCCGTGTGCCTGCCCTACCGTCGCGTCCCCTGCCCTTAGCGGCCCGTCGCGCCCTCTTACGGCCACGTAGCGGCCCCTCCCGCGGCCCTTCGCGACCCCTCGCGGCCCCTTCTCGGCCCCGTCGCCGCCCTTAGCGGCCCCTCAAGGCCCCTTCTCGGCCCCGTCGCCGCCCTTCGTGGCCCCTCACGGCCCCTTCTCGGCCCCGTCACCGCCCTTCGCGGCCCCTTCACGGCCTTTGGTGGCCCCTTCGCCGCCCTTAGCGGCCCCTTCTCGGCTCCTCCGCGGCCCCTTCTCGGCTCCTTCACGGCCCTCTCGCCCCGCCGTCGCCGCCCCAGCAGCAGCAGCCGTCGCGCCGTAACAGCCGCCGCCACCACTGCCGGGGCCGCCGCCGCCGCCGCTGCCGACAGCAGGAGCCGCCGCTGCCACTGCCGTCACAGCAGCAGCCGCCGCCGCTGCCAACAGCAGCCGCCGCCGTCGCTGCCGTGACAGCCGCCGCCGCCGCTGCCGGGGCCGCAGCCGCCGCCGCCAGCAGCAACCGCCGCCGCCGCTGCTGTGACAGCCGGCGCTGCCGCTGCCGGGGCCGCAGCCGCCGCCGCCGCCGCCGCCGACAGCAGGAGCCGCCGCCGCCGTCCCGGCCCTGCCCTGCAGAGAGGAGCGGCACTCTACTTCCGCCCTGTCGCGGCCCTGTCCCTGCCGGCGCGCCTCGGCCCTGCCCCACCACTTGCGGACCTCTACCCACCCGCCCTGGTAAGAGCACCGCCGAGCCGCGCCTCTTCTACTGAGCTGCTCCTAGCCTGCTGCTACTGCTCGCGTTCCCTAGCGTTCTCACCTGGGTACCCCTAGCGTTCTCGCCTTTGATGCTGAGGGTCGGGCTGTCGACTTTGAGGTCTGGGTCGATGATCTGCAGCTTTTCCTGCAGTGCGATAGGAAAGACGGTCTCTCACTGTTCGATCTCACGTCTGGCGCCTCGGCTGCCCCTGCTGCCGATCCTGACAGCACTGTTCGCTCACAGTGGGCCACACGCAATGCTGCTGCCCGTCTTGCTGTGCGTAGTCACTTGCCGTCCACTGAGCGCGCGCACTTTAGTCAGTACAAGAGTGCTAAGACCTTGTACGACGCTGTAGTTGCACGCTACTCTTCCCCTGCCACTGCTGCCCTTAGCCGCCTCATGCTGCCGTACCTGTTCCCTGACCTCGCCGCCTTTCCCACAGTCGCTGACCTCATTACACACCTTCGCACTAGTGACACCCGCTGCCGAGCTGCGCTTCCTGCTGAGTTCTGCGCCAAGAACCCCCCCCCCCCCCCCCCCCCCATGTACATCACCCTCTACTACATAGTCACCCGACTCCCTGACTCCCTTCGCTCGGTCAGGGACCACTTCCTCTCTGTTTGCCCCACCACACTCACCGTTGACCTCCTCGAGGAGCGCCTCCTGGCAGCTGAGAAGAGTATAGTCGCTGTAGGAGCCTCTCGTGGTGACCCTCGTGCCCCCTTCTTTGAGGGGTGCTCCCCTTCCCCCCTTTTGCCCTCTGTTGCCTCTGCTGCTGCCGTCGACTTTGTTGGCACCGAGTCGGTCGGCGCTGCGTCTGCCCCTAGCACGAGACGCCGCACCGGCAAGGGCAAGGGGGGCAAGGGCGCTTTAGGAGCTGGCGGAGGCGGTGGAGGTGGCGGTGGAGGCGGCGGAGGGGGTGGGGGTGGCGGTGGGAGTGGTGGCGGGGGTGGGGGCTTCGGTGGCGGCGGTGGAGGCGGAGGCGGCGGCGGCGGTGGCGGTGGGAGCGGAGGAGGCGGAGGAGGCAGCGGTGGCGGTGGTGGCGGAGGTGGCGGCGGCGGCGGTGGAGCAGGTCGGGGTGGCTCTGCGCAGCGGGGCGGCTTCGGTGGTGGTCAGCGCCAGCAGCAGCAGCGCATTCGTGAGACCCCGCCTCCCCAGCAGCTTCGTGAGTGGTACGCTGCACGTCAGCGGGGTGGGGGTGCTGGTCCCTGTGCCTACGTCCTGCGTACCGGCGACCGCACTGGTGAGCCGTGTGGTGGCCCGCACACCACCCAGCGCTGCTTCGGCCGCCTGACGAACGCCTGGTGTCTCCAGTTCCCTGACGCCACTGAGATCCCTTGCTGGGGCGAGCTGCTTAGGTCGGGGTTTGCTATCTTTGATCTGGATTATGATGCTATTCTTACTGCCATGTATGTTGTGTCTACTAGTGATGAGGGTGACTGTTACATGTGTGTTCTGCCTGACCCGGGCATTGAGGCTGCTTCTCTAGGTGCTGGTGAGGCTGCTGCTCTAGGTGCTAGTGCGTCTGCTGCCCCAGGTGCTGGTGAGTCGGCTCTCTCAGGTACCACATCGGCTCAGGCCTTAGACACCTTCACCCTTGACTCGGGTGCTTCCCGCTCCTTCTTTCGAGACCGCACCACACTCACGCCGCTTAGTCGGCCAGTTGCGGTCTCCCTGGCGGACCCCTCTGGGGGTCCTGTCCTTGCCCACTTCTCCACTGTCTTACCGTGTCCGGCAGCCCCTTCTGGCACCCTGTCAGGTCTTTACCTCCCCTCATTCTCTACGAACTTGGTGAGTGGTGCTGATCTACAGGATGGGGGGGTTTACCAGTTCACTCCTGC